TACATACATACACGCTGAGGCACAGTGCGTAAGACAGATGTTGTCCTCGAGGAGCAAATAAAATCGAAGGAAAAGGAAGCGAAACGATGACGACGACGACGAGCGACAGTCTACCGTTCTGTTCCATTACCTTTTACCTCGTTCAAGTAAAAGCGAGAAATCCGGAGAACATCGCGAGCTTCGTGGAACGCTTTTCGAGAGAATAAAAAAATAATTCAAGCGTATAGAGACGAAAACATCCCTTTTCACATTTTTTCTCTCCTAAAATAAAAAACTAGGAGTTAAAAAAATACACATATTACATATTCATATATCTTTGTTTTCAAACTTGCCGTTCGCAAATCAATTTCTGTTCCTTCAATCTTTACATTGCGTGGAAGAAAAAAAATTGATGAAAAATCCGCTGATGAAATGCACTCGGGAATTGAAATTTCCATGTCGCGGCGGCACTCGGTGCCGTTAAGCAACGGTGCATCGTCTTCGCCGCTGCATCGCACTGCATAGCAGCGAGATTATTTGATGCGCGCGGAAGATTGTAAATAATCATCAAGCTGGCGAACGATGAGGTTGTATCGATTCAACAGAACAATAATTCCTTAGCGACGGAAGTATTGAACTATAGTGTGCGCGCGTTTTCACGCACGTGATTTCGTTCGATCAATGTTGGTTGCATTCCAAGTCATTGCACTTTCCAGCGATCACTGATCTAGCGCTTTCGTTTTTCGAACTTGCGATAATAACGCTAATTATGAATCAATTCATTTAGATGTTATTAAATTTTTCACTAAGATATTAAAAATAATTCAGCAATCGTATCAAAATGATTGCTTCATCGCGACTTCGAGAAAAATTTATTAAAACGCTCGATGAGGAATCAATTTATTCAAGTGTTAATAAAGATAATTTAGCGTCTATAAAAAAAAGTAAATCGTTTTCTCACCGCGTCTTCATTAACGGCCAGTGGATTACGAATAGGATAATACACGTGCTCGATTATAGCTGCAAAGCGGCGGTCTTGTATATGTCTTGTATATGTTAAGTTAACGGTACGGTAACGGTCGATGTTAACTGCAATGTTCACTGCGAGATCTTTAATGCCGCCGTAATCGTTGGCCCATTACTCAAATTACTCGTTCTTGCTATTAACCGTATGAGAGACGCAACGCCGCTGCAGTCAAGCGCATTTCGATCTTCGATTAATTGACGAGCATTTTCCATCGACCGACCTTCGGATCAATCGAGCGGTTACTCCTTGACTTTTTTATTTTCACGTACGAAAGATATATTATTATATAGCACATCTTTTATAATTTTTCTCCTTTTAATTCCTATTTTAATTAATTTTTATTATCATTGTTATGTTACTCTAACATGATTATATAAGAGAATATATAATGAGTCCGAAATCTTTACATTTGAAAATAATTACACTGTATTTAATATTTAATTACTTCATTTCTACTATTTTTAATGTAAATATTATATTCGTACATGACAATAATAGTCAATGATTATGTGGATTAAATCTGCGAATATACATCTATGGATAATATTTTAATCAATATGTAAGATATAATCGCATTGAAACGCATTATCCTACCATGACGTTCACAACGCCACGTTTACCAAGTTAATTGCACGGGGGCGCGATTTCAAGCTGTTTCCTGGCATCCAAGGGGGTGGCGCAGGCGCGAGACTTTCACCATCCCTTTGAGAGGGAAACTGACGGGGTTCGGCGGCAATTTGCGGGGGGAAGGATCAAAGTTTCCTCAGTGTTTTCGCGTACGCCGAGCACTCGTGATCATCGCGAATTTTCGCAGGAGACACATCCTCGCGAGATGTTGATTAAAAATTCTTCGACAAGTGATGTGTCCTTCGAAAGTATCTAATAAAATTATTCAATAAGTGACGATGTAAATTGCAGCGCAGAATTAATGAAATTTTATAATGTATGAGATTGCTCATTCAATCTATTTATAATCATCTGCACGCGATCGAGACGTAAGTCAATCACTTTCGAGCTTGACTATCGCCGTTTAACATTAATCGGATATTAATTTGAAAATAAATCAACGCTATGAAATTGATTTTATGAGCCGAATTCAATAATTTTGCTCATTTTGGAGCAGAAGAAATTTACATATTTTGGTATATGATGTAAACAGTGAACAAATTCTTTGTCGGCGATTTTGGCAGGTCAATCGGACGAATTCTATGAATCTTGCGTGCACAGTTCGAAATAAATTTATGTCTCTAATGATGATATCATTTATTCTCGAAATTTTCCAAATATTAGTGCTAGTAAAACTGCAATTAAAAAACTGACTATTAATATTTTATATTTTTATTAATACGTTTTATAAAAAATATTTATACATTTGTATTCCATCGACTAAATAATAAAGTCTCGCTCTTCTCCTCGAGAGTGTGAAACACTACAGATTTCTTGAGCTGCTCTACTTTATTAATCGCGGACGCGAAAATTTTTTTCTCACTGGCTTTTGTATTTGCAAACTGATGGGACTCGAGATACTTGTTGATATGCAGTGGGAAAGCTGATGCAAATATTTAATAGGCGATATTTCTAGCACGTGATATGAAAGAAATAGACTCCGAATAGCGGCTATTTAGCGGCGCGCGGTTTCCGGAACCCGGTGAACGCGATCGATAGTTTTATCGGAATCGCCGCGTTCGGTCTAAAGAAGAAAGTGTCGGGAAAAAGTATGCAGCTACTTTCCAGCTTCATGGGTCGCCAGACGAAGCGAGGAGCTTCCTTAAAAAAAGGTACGTCGCGTTGCGGATGAGTGCGCTCGCGTTCTCATGAAGCCACGTGACATTAATCAACTAGTTCAGCAAGGGAAGACAGGAAAGCGAGCAGCAAAAATTTCACGCGTGGAATAGACACAAAACAGATACTAGAACTTAAGAGATGAGACAAACCGTGTTGGATGTCTTTTAATTTTCTCTTGCAAAAAAAAAGATTCGTTGAACAAATGCTATGACAAATTTTACGTCAGACGAATAAACGTCGATAATTTTGCTGAACGCGTAAAACGGAAGATCCATGCATGGCTTCACATATCACGCTTTGTTCTCCCAATAAAAATAAAAAAGGCGATCAAAATTGCAGTCGATACGCTATATTTAAACTATATCATATAATATGAAAATAATTGGAACATGGAGACATTTTGAATCAGTATAAATCAATTCACTTTATCTTTCTCTCATGATGTGACTTCCGATGTTTACGAGCATTTTGCGTCACATGTTGCATGTATAAATATCACATATTAGTTCCATGTGACATGATAAGACCGATACACTATATTGACCGTTTGAGTAAATTGTTGAGTTTCTCTACATACGCGTGCAGAAACTATGTGGAACGCAGCGATAGAATATTAAGGTAAAGCAGGCGCATGATCTAATAACTTATTTGATCGATACTCTTGAAAATACCTATACAACGTCAGCATGAAGCCGCTACGCTCACGCGATGTAGATGCTCCGTGACCAGTTTTGTACGGTACGGCGATCATCGAGAGCATCGAAATTGCTTTTCGTGGTGCCTCCATAGAGAAGACCCCCGTGTGCAAACACCTGATTTCCTGTCCTACTCAATTCGTGACACAGTTTGAAAGACGCTCGAGACGTCGTCGATTTATGCGTAAGAGAGATACACGTGTAATAAATTTTTATGCAAGTTTCTAAATATAAATTTTATCGGTGTACGCACGTGGGGACTGGGGACTCATGTTTATTTTATCGATTTTTATCCGTCCACATAGTAGGTACTTATTCTACTGTCCTTATCGCGCGTATCCTTCACGACATGCCAACGATTTACTTCGCGTATCACGTATATATTCGAAATACAAAGAGCGTGATTCGCCAAATTCAATCTGCGGAAGTAATTACTCTTGGCACACAGTTGTACGCGACGTCAACCACGTGAAAGGTTGCAACGTTAATTTCACCCTATATACGCCTTTATAATGTCAAGGCTATGTCCTGAATTATCGTTCTTATCCTTCAGCTTGATTTGTTGTGGAATCAGTCGCATATTATAACCATACAATATCAAGAAGATAATAGACTGCTAATATTACAATATAAATAATTTGTTTAATGGCAAAAATTTAGTGAATTGTTTCTAATTGTAAGATATACAGTGACAAAAGCTTTTTTGTCTAGAAAGACAGATCTATTAAGTTCTTGTCTGTTTCAATAAGTGTTGAACAAAATTTTTCTATTCAAGGATAATATGTGTAATTTGACTAAGTATTCTGTATAAAGTAAATTTACAGAATCAATAAGAACGTAATTCAAAGGACTGAGGAGAAATTATTAGGCGAGACAGTTGGCTTAATAAATGGAAGATTTCCGCGGGATACGTCGCGTGGATGCATTTCTTGGAGTGCATGCATTTCTCCTCAGCAATATCTCTTATGCGTGACGCTGGTCCTAGCTCCTTTACCGGTGCACTGATTGATATGCACCGCGCATACAATCCAGAGAATTGTAAATTTATTATAAACTGTAGACTTACATTCCACTTGAATTAAATAAAATTCAATTAACTCTCAGAACAGGTACTTTAACAGAATTTCAAACAATATCACGATAAAAAGAATAGATAACAAGGAAAGGCAATGGAATAAAAAAATAATGAAGCACGTAAAATCGTACTCTTGTTTATAGACAGAAATACGTAAAATGCGAAAAGTAAAATTCACGCATATATAAAATGCTAGGATCATCCTTTAGTTAATTAAATAATAAGTCTTTGCGTAATTAGCAATCATTAATAGAAATTCAGACATCATTGCAGCTTAAGATCTACCTTCTTTCCACATACTTAGCGCTAATGCGGTCGTTTAATTCTCACTTTATGTTTACCTCAACTGCGTTCTGAATTTAAATCCTCTTTACAGTAGACACTTTATGCACGTTGTGCACATCCCTCTAACGTTGCGGATATATTTTCTGTTCCTCAGGAAAGCGCGAATCCACCGGAGGCGGGAATCCTGCTGGTAATTGGCCGTCTTCAACGGGGGGTCCGGTCAGACCCCTTAACAGTACCGTTTGCGGCGGCGGTGCGGGGGGCACCAACATGACACCCGACGATCCCGCGCCCGACGAAGAATTCGCCCTCGCCGTCGCGCAAAAAGCACAGGTAAGGCTGCTTATCAATGAGAGAAGGGTTTTTTGCTCGATCAAACCGAATAATAAATTCTTGATAGCGAATCAACAAGCGCGTATGCCGTTCTTTCGTGCCGAGTCATTTCCTTGCCTCGAGAAATAGGCCACGATAAATGTTTTCATCTATGAATACCTTAGTCGAAACATTTTATAAATTTATTAATATGCAAATGACATTATGAGCAAAAAATCTTCTTAAACTTTTGACTCATTTGTCTTAAAAATTTACTAAAATATATTCAAAATTAAGTCAGTTCAAAATTAAGTTTAGATTAGATATTATTAAAAGACTGAATTAAATTCACGCATTTAATATAAATCGCGGAGGGATTATTATTACAAAAATATAAATTGTTTTAAATTAATTTAAATTATTAATCGAAGTTTTATCACGATATATTTAAAGTAAAATTTTAATTAAAACTATTAATTAAACTCATAAGGGGAAAAGTTAGGACAGCTACAAGGCTATAAAGGTACAATCATAGAATCGTGTGAGTTGAAATTCACATACATATACATATATATATATATATATATATATATATATATATATATTATATATGTATATGAGACTAACTCAGATACGTACTATTTCTCACGTGGAATGCCTCTCAAGCGCAGGTACGTATATTTCAATGGCCGATGTCCTCTTGTACGGCAGATATTTCTCAAAGGAACCTACGCAAGTTGAATCGTCAATTCCGTAAAAGCGACCGGGCACAATATTCTGTAAAGAAGAGAGGAGCCGGAACGATGTCCTGGCAACGTGTTCGCGATTCATACAACGTACGCATCGTTGAACGTTCGTTGACGTTGTTATGACTATTGTCGTAGAACTCAATGATTTTTTACGTTCGCTTTTGTGGTTTTGAAGTCGACCTATTTAAGCTTCAAGCGGTTCGTTCACAGGAAAATGTGACGATATTTATTCAGCTGGTTCTATAGTTCCAGGATTATATTATTGATCGATTTATTTAACTTTATTCGGATTTTCATCTTAATAGAATATTTGTTATTTGTAATGATAAAAAATTGTAGCGCGAGAAAATTTCAAAAATAAAATCAGTCAGATAATTAAACAGATGATAGATAATTAATGTAAAGGAAATCTTGTATTTTTGATGAGAAAAAATACAACGTAGAGAAATGTATAAAAATTATAAATGGAATAATTTTAAATGTATCTTTTTCTTAGCAAATTAGTAGCAATTCTGTAAATGCTCTATGTAGTTCCGTTTCGTTGCTCATTGATGTTTCGTGTCGATCAAATTGAATTTTAAGAAGAAGAAACTTCTTTCACGGACCGTATCTGAAAGTAAATAAAAATTGTTGACATACTATATAATGATTATGTGGAATATATAAAATATTATAAAATTTTATTGATCTTAATTTTTTAATATAATATTGAATATAATTTTTATATTTTTTAATGAATTTAAACTCTGTTACTTTTAGAAAATTTTGCTAATAAATTCCAAAATAAAATTATGAGAAAGTTAAATTTCCTTAATTAAATGAACGATGAGACTTTATTGTTTATAATCCAATATTTTACCGCTTTGAAGATACTTCCGTTAAAGAAGAATTTATATAAGTTTTTACGTAAGTTGGCTTAATTAATTCTCTAGATTCTTTTTCATACATATATAATATTATTTGATTATTAATTAATAATCAATATATTTATAATTAATAATCAAATATTATAATCAAATTCCCTTGTTTTAAAATGTTCTAAGGTACTTTATTTTACAAAAAATCGGTTTTTCAAATCAGATGAAAGATGAAAATTAAACTTGAAAGCCTTTATGGAAATTTATGCAAAACTGAAATTATGGGAAATTATGGGAAGTCATTGAAATAGTGCTTTCCGGTACTTCTGAGATTTCTCGAAGATCTTTATCTCACACTTTTTTCCAGTTGTTCTATCAAGAGAAATTAACTCTCTTAATAATAGAATCCTTCAAGATAAATTTCGAACACGTGCTGTATTTAAAAGAAGTCGATTGCGTTTAAAATAATTCTTTTTATATACATAAAAATTCAGACACAATTTTTGCAATCTTATTGAATATGATATATAAACTCATTTTTATGCTAGAATATTATCACCAGAATATTATAATCTATAATTAATTTCTTATAATTAATACGAAAAAATAAATCCTAGAAAGTGCTCTTTTTCTACTATAGAAATAAACAATTTATTATTATAAAAAAATCAATGCAGTTTCACGAAGAATATTTCGCAGAATGTTTTTTATAATTAAAACCGGCGCTTTCATGAAAAAATATCATGAATTATAATGTAAGGAAAAAATAATATCGCCGCCGATGATATTTATTTCGCTGTAATTTCATAAATGGGAAAAATATAACTCTCGATGAGAAATACATGGCTCCATCAAAGCTCTTTCGGAATATTTTACGAGAAGCCGTACACGCCTCTCTTAGCATTGGACAACTTTCCAATTAATGAAACGTTACGTTCTTGACGGAACAGGTTGAATTACTATTGCGTAAGAGTGCATGTTGTATGCGACAGCGATCTTACGTCCTCGAGACGAGATCGAGAAGTGCGTCGAGGTATCTCATTGCGTTAATATCGCTCTAGTTAATTTTAAAAGCGGAGCTCACTCGAGTTTAAAGATATGAAATAAATTCTGTAAAAATAAAATGTGTTTTGTAAATCGGATTTCTAAAAATTGTTTCATGTAAACTAAAAATTCTGTCGCAAAGTGTCATGATTATTACATTTATTAATTATAATATTATAATATGGTTGTATGAGATATTATATATTGGATATTGAAAAATTATTAGAGCGCATTTAAAGGATTAATTAGACTAACTTACGATAAATTTTCTTTTAACGGAAATATCTTTCCTTTCTTAGATTATCCTTTCTTAGATAAAATTTATTTTCATATTTATGCGATGCTATCGGAATGCGCCTTTTATTCGGTATCAAATTCGGTATTTTCTCCTTTTAGTGCCATCGAGAAATCCAAAATTTCATGAAAAAGAATCGTAAAAAACCTTTTATTTCTTATGCTTACGATATTTATTATTCACGAGGTTAATGACGCTCTTCGGTGACGTCAGAAAAACCTCTTGAAAACGACGTTGCACGCAATGTTGCGTGTAAGCACGCAGGAATCATGTCCTACATCCTAGCAAGACGAAGATACGACGTCTTGGACATTTCGCGTGATGTTGCTTTCACTTTACGAATCCGGGGACAAAAATATTTTCCAAGAATATTCTGAAATTGCGATATATACGTACGATCTTAACATCTCAAGGTAATTGCTGTTAATGATATGCTGCGAGTAAATACGGGTGGAATGTCACTGCAAATTTTTTCGCTAATATCTCTTTACCGTGCATTGAATACGGCAAGAATGCCGAGTGCGCTATGTCTACATGGTATTTAGTTCACGAGTAGTAAATACTAAAAAGACACGGAGAAAAAATAAGAATATTTTACATTCTCGTATATCTGCGGATAATTATCATTCTGATGCAATTGTAGAAATACAAAATAAAAAAAGTATATTTTATTAATGTAGGTAAATATAATTTATAATAAAGGAATAATTAATTGTTCCATATGATTCTTATTCATATATCCGTTTTTAAATTATATTTACTTATATTTAAGTAATTTAACATTTTTATAATTGTTATTCTTTCTTAGATAAATTCTTAGAATGCAAAAGAAAAAAATAAATATTTATATTAGCTATCGATATCAAAGATGAAAGAAAGATAAATATGTGTATGCATATAGAATATCAAAATTATAACTGAAGAGAATATCACGAAATTACATAGCTAATGAAAAAATAACATTCTCGATATTAAATCGAGTATATAAGCAAAATAATTCTGAATGAAATAAATATATATTTGATAATAAAAAAAAGCGGTTCCGTAGCAAGCTATAATGAAATATTAAATCGATCAAAAGGTTTTCGTGTCATGTCATTATCCAGAATTAATTATCTCACCATGGATGATAGATAATTAGCATTAATCATTTGATCATTATTAACATCAATGTTAATGCAACACTTTGAGCACGTTATGCGAGTCGATTATCGTCGGATTAATGCGATGCGTGCGAAGGCCCCCAATGCCTTCATATTTATTTGATACATGCAAATGCATGCGCGCGTGAATGCATCGAATGAAATATCTCTTTGCAGAGAGACGCAGAGGCAATCCGCACCGCTCTGTATCTCGGAGTGGCACTCGCGATCACCTGGATAATAGGAGCGGCGGGACTGTCATTGGCGTGGCTGGTTCTGGTCCTGGCACTGGCTGCGACGATCGTTAAGGCAAGAGTATCCCGGCTTCTTCAGACGGAATTACAACACGAATTGGCGAGGTTACGTAGAAGACGGGCTTTGTACAAAGATGAGACCGCTGAATGGCTCAGTCTGCTTCTCAATAAGTGGCAAGTACCGTTTCCAGCAGTTATCGATAACCAAAGAGGCTAATTGTGAGAAAGGAACACCTGGTATATGTTAATGTACCATCTGCTGTATGTTAATATCGATACGCGTTACTTCGAGTTGTATGCAAAAGCGTGCAATTATTGTCAAGTCAACTATTATAAAGAAATTCATACATCTTTTATTAAAAAGTATAAGCGTTTTTAAATAGAAAAATTGATTATTCAAATTTAAATTAATTATATATTTATATATATTTTATATCATTTTATACATCAAATTGGTCTTATTTAAAAAAATAAAAATAAAATAAAAGTATGTTTAAAGAGAAAATTTTGCAAATATAGCATAATAAAATATATATACTCCTGGACAAAATTAATGCATATTTTTTTTCATTTTTTCTTTAAAATTTTTCGTTAAAATCTAAATATCAGTTTTTAAAGAAAAAGTGAACAAAATTGTGTGTTAATTTTGTCCAGGAGTATATATTATTGCTATACTTTTAAACTCATAAATTATTTTTTCGTATAACTGAGAAGCGGTAATAGCACTATATTACTATACCTTCATATATATACAATATATATATATATATATATATATATATATATATATATATATATCGCGAATGTCCTCGTAACGGATGGGTGAATGAACTTTTCATTTGAGAACGAGTACTACATATTGTAAACATACCACATTCCTACTGCATGTGATGTATAGACGTAGCCTTTCACGTTTCTGCTACTCGTGCCGCGAATAAAATCCTTGTTCGTCGTTGCTGCTGACATATGTTGAATGGAATGATTTGTCGATTTTAAAATTGACGTAAATTAAATAAATCGTATAATAGAATCATATATTAAAGCAGATTATAAAAAAATCATTGTTAACTGGATTCCAAATCAGCTTTAACAAAATACACATAAAAGAAAAATTGAATGTAATTATATGTAAATATAAATCTTTATATGTAATCCTCTTATTTAAATTTATTTATTATTTATAAAACGTATTCAAAAAGATTGATTATTTATTACTTGAAAAAATAAAAATGTTAATAAAAAATCTTTAAAAGTTTTAAAATGAATTAATTTCTGATTTGAAAAAGAGTTCTAAAATTTTGGTGATACTTATATATTATTAAATGTGTATATATATATATATATATATATATATATATATATATATATATGTGTGTGTGTGTGTGTGTGTGTGTGTGTGTGTGTGTGTATGTATGTATGTATGTATGTATGTATGTATGTATGTATGTATGTATGTATGTATGAATATATATTTAAGAATGATCATCTTCATGCATGATTCTTCGTTTGTCAGTGGTTGAAAACAGCTAATGCGACACGTGGAAATACATATAGGAAAAATGCTACTTATTTGGGTAGTTGATAATTTTGTTCGAGCATTCCTGAACTGTCGGCTGCGAGTTCTCACCGAATCGCGAGAATATCTATATGCGAGAAAATATGCGAGAAAAAGCGCGACATATATATATATATATATTTATGTGTTATATATATATATATATATATATATATATATATATATATATATATGCGTACACACATAAAGGAAATAGACACGACGGTCGTCATACCGGCGTTTATTTAATCATGTGAAACGTACAATAGCTATGAAAGAATTTCTATAGAAAATCGATTCCATAGAAAATTCCGTAGAATGTAGAAAGCTTGTATAATAACTCGCAAATACACTCTAATTTTGTACATGTGTGACAATATTCTGAAACAAACAAAAAATGTTTGAAATAATACACTCTAATTTTGTACATGTGTGACAATATTCTGAAACAAACAAAAAATGTTTGAAATAATACAAAAGTTTTGTTTAGATTCTTTGCTTCGAAAAGAATAATGATATAAAAAGTTAAAAATAATTTAATTAATTTTAAAAATAATATAAAAAATTAATAATAAGTATAAATAATTTCTTGAATAAACAAATCATTAAATATAAATATTTATCATAATAATACAATTTAAGAGAAAGAGGGGAAAAAAGAGAATATATAATATCCTAATGTACATTAAGGAGGGAATTTATGATGGAGAACACGAAAAGGTCGAAATTGAAAATAATAAGATATTATCAGTATATTCTAAAAAATGTCAAGTGCGTGCAATTTCGTTTCTTAATCTATTCATGAAGCCGTGTGGGTTATCGAGTATTATACGATTCGACTCGTTGTCGATGACGAAAATGGGATGTCATTAGAGATAAACTCTGAAAATAACTTGCTTCTCATGATACCGAAACGTCAGTACACATTTTTCATGCTTGAAAGAACATTTTTATCGTATTAAATCTAGCTATTGGCTTAATTAAACTGAATATTGAATGAATCGTTTCTTTTTTATGACGTCGCCCTTCGAAATATCTATTCACATTCAACATGAATGAAGGAATATAAAAAATTAGAGAAGAAATTTAAAATATTCTCTGAGATATGAGTTTAATAAATTGAAATAAAAAATAGTATTTCTTTAATTAAACCCATCAAAGAGATAATAGAATGTTCCGATTATAATATTAAGTAAATGACACACACACACACACGCACACACACACACTTTTTCTCTCTCTCTCTCTCTCTCTCGTTTACATATCGAATTATTTTCATAGGTGGAGATTCAGCGCTGCCAGTATTTTTTCCTTGGCGAAGGAACGACTAGAGCCTCTCCTTAATGAAGCTAAACCAGGTATATTAGGTAAGGGCTTTAATTATTCAAATATAAATTATCCAAGAATAATTAGGTGATTTACAATGAGAAAGAGATTATAAAGAAAACTCTGCTAAGGAAATTAATCATTGAACGCTCGAAGGATTCCAAGTTATTTCATCATTGACTTTTCATAAGAGATCTTCATTATTCAGGTCCGTTAGAATTACGCGAACTCACTCTTGGCGAACAAACACCATGCATCACTCGCGTGAGAACACTCGATTGCTGCAGTGACGATGACCTTCCCAATGGACATCATTCTGGTCAGGCTAAACTATCCATCGAGGCGGATGTGCGACTAGATTGCGAACAATTCCGCATGCTCATCACTACACGGTTGTTTGGTAAAGGGTGAGAAATGAAAAGCCTTTGCTATATTACAAATCTTTAAGAATATTTAGATATTTGTAAATATTTTTGTATTTTTTATCGTCATTTCACGCAAATATTATTTTATCTTCTGCATTTTATTTATAATCTTGTTGCAGTTATTCAATCAATATTATACAACACTCCAAATTTCCTCTTGTTTTATTCTGGATTGCTCTAAGTTATTATAATTAAGATTCACTATCGCGCGAATTTTAAATTGATTCTTTCTATCTGGAAACAATTTCAAGAATGAAATTTTAAAAATGTCTCGTGCTAGCGTGGGAATGGACATCGATCTGGCAGTGGAGAAGCTATCACTATCGGGCACGATTGTAATCGATCTAACGTTAAACGCGTCAGCGCCGTTTCCTCATGCGACCGGACTTAGCGTGAGTTTCATGGAAAAACCGGATGTCTGGTTCAGCGTAAGAATTCTACGAGCAGTGCAAATGATGGAGATGCCATTGATCAAGACCTGGATTCACGCGGTGGTCACTGATGCCCTGGCCAGCTGGCTGGTCGACCCGGGTCATCTAGAGGTAAACCTGAGGGCGCGCGAACGACCGGGTCCTGGACTGGATTCCGTGACCAGTTCTATGCCGCAAGGAGTGCTCACAGTTGTGCTGAGTCAAAATGGGTGTCCTGGTAAATGTTCTTTAAAATGATTGTCTCTTACATTTACTAATACGCATCAACTATATTATTTTTAGCGCGCAAGAATCAACCGATTCTTCTTTTTTCATTGTACATGCGAGAGAGAAAATTGAGCATAAATGAGGCTGAAAATGTAAAAACACACGAATATTGAAATTTCTTTATTACATGATTAATATAATTAAATCGTGTAATTTACATATCTCGTGAAACACGCATATGTTATATTATGATTGATGCGTATTATTATAAATCATAGAATAAAAAATCATTAGAAAGTTCTAAATGAGTCTTTCTCCAGCAAATGTCGCCGATGAGGTGAGATGGCTCGTGGTAACAGTAGGCGATCAAAGACGAATCACCTCGAATTTGAGCTCCATGTGGACTGAAGATGTATCATTCTTGGTCGGGTCGTTAGACAATGAGAGGATCACTATCAAACTGAAAACAAAACGGCTTGTCAGTACCATCACTTTGGCGCAATTTGAATTGGCATTAGGAGTCTACGATTGGGAAAACTCGCAAATGTAAGTAGCATTGAATTATAGAAACTATATTATCTCTTATCGATCTGTTAATATATTTATTAATGCACTTATCTTGATTTGGCACAGCGTTGAAACCGTGTTACAACAGAAGAAACCGTCCCGTAATAGCGTTAACATTCCGAGCATCAATGCGCGATTAGAATACACTACTCTTCCACATTTGGATCCCGAGTTACCACAGCCAGAACTAATAGCCGATAATATGCATCTTGCAGGTATACATATAAATAAATTTAATTGATAAGATATAAATATAAAAACACAAAGGAAAAATATTTATTCGATTATATATATGTATATTGAACTTATTCTCTCAAGTTGCAACGAAGTCTTAATAAAATGTCCGACATTTTTTTCCCGCGAAATAATCAATATGAAATGTGTCGTATGAAATATTTTCAGTGCCGCGAGACTTTTGCCACAAAGCGCACAAAGCAGGTAAATCTGACCGAGATATCGAGTGACGAATGCGAGTTGAGCATGATTTGTGCAACATTTTTTTTATTTAACGTGTTGCTTAATTAAGTGTGTACGCTTGATTATTTTACCGAGATATTTATCGGATAGTAAAGCTTTCAAAATATACAAGCCTTATATTTTATCTTTCGCTTTCTCATGAAAACTCGTAAAAGTTGGATGCATTTTTTGTTTGTAATAAAAAGGAACGAGGAATTTTATTTTTAATGCATCGTAATTTTCAGGAGTATTGGTGATTTGTATTCATTCCGCTGACAATCTCAATGGTGATGTTACACAGTGTAATCCTTACTGCATGTTATTTAACAATCGGAAAAAGGTAAAGCAATTTATTTACCAGATATATATTTTTACGAGAGTTATATTTATGTGTGAATCATTAATAAAAGTTTGATGGATTTTTAGGTCAAAACGACGCATTATATTCGTTCAACTACATCTCCAGTTTGGGACTGCAGAGCGCAATTTTTAGTTCAGGATTATACTCAAGTATCACTGAGCTTTGTTATTTATTCATGGAACATAGCGAAATCGGTGGATACAGACATGCTTGGATTAGCAATGCTATCTCTATCTCAGGTAGTCTAAATTTCTTTTTAACAAACTAAATGATTCAGCACGTTAAGCTGAAATAAAGTTATAATTTGCGGGGATCAATTTAAATACGATGTCAATTTAAAATAGACTGATTTCATTGTTGCATTAAGCATTAATTTATAGTATCGTTATTATCATGTATTTTACGATCAATGAAAAATTATGTTCTATTAAAGGATACGACATGGATCGTTAGAAAAGAACTCACGCTCAGCGGGTCCAACATAGCCTCCTCTATGACAGTCTCCGTTCTTTTTTACCCTGTCAAAAGCATACAACAAGTGGTTAGTAGTCGTAGAAGCAGCATAGTTCCGACTACGCTGGACGACGAACCAAAAATCAAACGAAACAGTCTGCCATGGATGCAACAAGCTGTAAATTTATTAGAAATCTAGTATTTTTCTAGAAGAAAAATATTTCAACATATTTATTTCCATTTTTTTAAACATTTTTAGAAGTTGTTACTATCGCACAAGGATGTTGATCCTGCTTCCTCCGACATATCGAGTTTACTATCCACCGGAAGTGGTTTGATGGAAGTGACGCTATTGCGTGCGAAAGATCTCGTTGCGAAGGATCTGAACGGTTTCAGCGATCCTTTCTGCGAACTGAAATTAAATAACGAGACAAAGTACAAGAGCAGCATAAAAAAGAAGACACTGAATCCTTGCTGGGATGAAAGTTCCATTATGGGGTTGCCGAAGACCGGGGAAGCTTTAGATATCGTAATTTTGTACATTTACTTATTTCGTGCACTATGATTATCATTGGAAGAAAGAGATGATTTTTTAAATCGGTTTAAATCGGTTTTTTAAATAGGTGTTATGGGATCATGATACTTTCGGTATGAAAGACTATCTTGGGAAAGTATCATTGACTCTCGAGGATATCAGAAAGCTGTCAAACAGCGATCAGTCTCATTGGTTCCCGCTCAGGGGAACCAAAACGGGATCTATAGAGCTGAAAATTAAGGTCTTATCAGAAGAATGCGAGGTAATGCGCTCATGCACAGTAATATTCTATTACACAATGACATCATATTTTTATCTTGTTACTTTGCTATTTATTTTCGTTAAAAATTTTCATTCATAATCTATGAATTCTAGACGCAAAGTACGTATGCAACCAGCAATGTCAGCGACAATTCTTCTCGTTTAAATGTTGAGCCTGACTCCTTATCGAGTATTGTGCGAAGACCTTCCATGGAGAAGTCTAAAATACGACTGCATTTAGATCCAGTCGTACCGCCACCGCCTCCACCACGGACTGTCACTCTCTTAAAGCCGACTAATCAATCTGGTAATATTTACATCATTTTTTTCTCTCAATCGTATAATAAAAATTATTTCATTAAATATATAATTTACTTATAACATTTCGATGTCTCTCTTATAGAAAAGGCTAGTATCACCAGTAAGGAGTCCAACGAAACAAACGGGACATCGAGTTTCTGGATTCCAAAAGTTATCGAAGAATCTGCGGCTGTTTCCGTCGACGAAGCCGATACCACCAAAGTGATCGCAGAAAGACGTTCATCTCAACATAGTTTGACTCCCAGTCCCGAACAAAGTTTTGGCAAAAAGTTACCACAGTACAACAGTTTTCGGATGATGAAACAGAAGGTAAATACGATTGAATAATCGTGGTAGAAGTCTCAGTTCAAAATTTTGTATAATTGTAGGTGAAGAGAGGTTTAAAACTTCGTAGATTCCGTTCAGAAGTAACTATAGAGGATAAGAATGATACCAAGGGCATCACGTTGAGTTTGGAACCCCGAGGTGGTGGAGAAGCCGATGCTACAGAACTTCTCTCAGAATCCGGTCTGGCGCATGCAGTATCGCAACCAGATATGTTGGGCAGAATAAGACAGCCCAGTCCACGCTTGAGATTAAGGCCGAGTGGTCAGTAGATAATATTAAAATATCACATCATTATGTCATGTTTTAAAATTATTTTAATACAGATGTTTTCACTATAGATCTTTGTTATCCTCGTTGATTTGAACTGAAAAACTGAGACATAATAAAAGTATATTAGTAATAAGAATCTTTTTATGAAAAAAAATATAATAAAACATATTTTATATATAATTAAACATATTTTGAAAACTTGAAATATAAAATATAAATGCTAAAATGAAATAAAACTGTTTCTTCAATTCTAAATTTTAAAATATTAAACATATTAAAAAATCAAACAATTTTCAGACTTAAAAATTGTTAACGGCACTAGAGAGAAATATTCCGGGATAGAAGGAAAAGTTCTTCAGGCGCAGGGTCTTCATGTAGCGCACATTGCCCAATTATACTGTCGAGTGAAGCTTCAAACGTAAGTGTATTAATGTTGAATGATGAAAATTCACATGTGTGTGGATGACAATGACCGGAAATTTCCAGATGCACCAGTCCGGATAAGATTGTGTCACCTAATGGCGGTAAAACCATCGCGAAATCACGGCTGCTACCGGCTATGCCTAATCCTCAATTCAGCATAGATTTCCACATAGACGGTGACGGCGTACCAAGGCAAGCTTTGCTGATATTTGAGATCAGGAGTGCTAGCAAAGAATTGCTGGCTAGTCGGCGTATAACTTTACATGAATTGCTAGGTATTTTAATTATTTTTAACATAAAAAAGTTATATTTAATTGCATATATTTTAAAATTTAATGGCATATATATGTTATATAATAGATAATTCATATACATGTAAATTGAGATTTTTTCTCTTCATAATCTTTTTTATGTAATTAGTTTTAATTATGACATAATTATATCGTATTCAAATTTGTAGGCGTATCCGCAGCTAGCGACGAGATTCATACGTGGTTGGCGCTGAATAATGGTGCCTCATTGGAAGTACAAATTGCTCACGGAAGAGAGCTTAAGAATAAGTCGGCAAAAAAATTATTTCGTTCTTGGTCGGTACATCGGATAGGGAAAATATGAGATTTAAAGAAAATCAAATACTGCTGTTGTACATCTATTTAATATATTAATAAAAGTGTAAGAAATTTTTTTCGTTTTTTGAGAAAGAATCAAATTTCAGGAGAAAGGAATTCCATCAACATTTTTTTTGCAAATGGAAATAGACAAAAAAAGCTTATTTTTACATAAATAATATCAATTATACATATCTGTTTAAAAAAAAAACTGTAAAAAAGTTTATGGAAATTTTTTTCCAGCTACATCTATTAAGACTTCAACAGCATTCCATATGATGTTCTTTAATCTTTTATATGATTATATTGACAAGAGATTTTGCATTCTGATACATAATTTTTGACAAGATTGTATAAGATGAATTTTATATATACATACATACATATATACATGTATATATGTATGCATGTGTTAAGTCCTAATTTATGTATATTAAGATTTTTCTAATATTTGCAGAATATTAAAAAAAATCAACGAGAAATATTTCGGAATACCATTTCACTTATATAATTGTAATTTTCGATATATTACATTTGTACATTTACATGTATTGTTATTTCATATATATATATTTATATGTATATATATAAAATAACACATATAATAATAATAATGATAATAATAATAATAATAATAAATGTATATTTTGTATTATCTCAAATATATATACTATATAACATTATAAATATATTATCAGAGTTTAATTGAGAAATTGCGCCATTTTACACCAATTATTAAATATTATAGATATAAAATTTCTATTTCAATACATATAAACTTTCTTATATATAGATATATATATATAAGTGATTATATATATCACAAAAATGACACATTTTAGTCTTGTTTCTCAATACACATTTTTTTTATAAGTATAGATATAAAATACCTTAAAATTTGCAATCATAAAAACATAGTTTTGTTAAAAGAAAAGTTAATGCATAAAAATATTTTTTCATATTTGCTGCTTTCTTCGTTATAACAATTTATTATAATTATATGTAATTGTGTGTAATTGCAAACATTTATAAATATGTGTGTATACAATAATTTAATATATTTATATATATATTCTCATCTCTCAGAGTAAGAAAATAGAGAATTATTTATATTTAACATATTCTCTCAAGCAAAAGCAATTAAGCCTTGAATATAATGTAAAACTATAATATTTTTGGTATGTATATTTAATTGCACACATAGTTAAATTCTTTAGTTAAATTAATATATCCAAAATCTAATCTATTCTCATAACTTAATTCTATATCAATGGTACAAAATAAGATTGCACTTGTGTGATTATATTAATATCATTACTGACAACAGGTCTACCTCATTTTGATCGACCAAGTATTATATGGAATACCTAATACCTTAATACCTTAATATCTTGTGAAAATTAATATACAGCCCACTTCTATTATAGTAATATGCATCATCTTCTTTTTATATTAATTTACCTGCCACTGAAATATATCAAGGTGCAAATACTTATCCAAATATACAATCAAATAATTCAATACAGTAGCAAGAGTGCACTTGCTTTGTGATTTTACCTTTAATGCAGGTTGCGTATTGCTGGCAGCAGCTTCTTGTTCCCGTTTCTCAAGTTCCAATGCTCGTCGTTGTTGTCTTTTAACAGACTCTATATCTTTTATACCCCTTTGCTGTTGCTCAGCAATTCTTTTCTCAGCAGCTTCCGCTTGTTTCCTACGTATAGTCTCCTAAATAAACGTAATATACATAAAATAACACGTCAAATAGCAAAACGACGTAATTTTATATTTTTCATATTTCTCTATTATATATTAATTATAAAGATTAAAAAAACAAAATTTTTGGAGTTCAAATAGTGAAAATGATAGAAGCTACTATCTTAAAGAAAAAGAAAGTTTATCAAATAACAATATAACGATATAAAAGCATCATACAATCAAAATATTGATATTTTGAACGGATTTTTATAAACTTTTGCAGACGTACTCGGTCAGGCGTGAGATCTTCATATGACGATGATTCTTTGTAACAGAACGCACAACAGTTGCCCATGTTGATACGTTGTAAAACAAATCTTATAATCACTCGGAGTTGTGAAAAGAATGCTGTTAAATTAAGTTAACAATAGACAAAATATACATGACAAATCCAAAGCAATGGCTGGTAGCTGTCGGTTCGGATCAGCTGTCGCATGTCGTACGTATATGCTCGGTGATACGCATGCGCAATATCGTGATTGAACCATGTATGCTTGGCATAGGTCAATCACGATATTGCGCATGCGAATCATCGGGCATATACATATGACATGCGACAGCTGATCCTGAATGAATACGTTCGATTGATTCAGTAGAGGTTATTCGTAATAATTTGTAATATGAAAATAAGTTCTTTGCGTTTGTTATGTGCATCATTTTTAATATTAAATAAAAAAATTAAATTAAATAAAATAAGAAAATTGTAAGAGACATATATTTCTTACATTGCTTTTCTGTCAAATAATAATTCAATTAAATGCTAATTATATTCTAATTATATTCTAATTATTAATGCATATTACACGCATACATATATCTACACACAAAATAATGTTATTAGATTTTATATATCTTTTATTAGGGAAATAATGAAATTTTGAGAATAATTCAAAAAATCCTTAATGATAAAGGATCAATTTTCTCAATTTCATGTTACAATCAATTTACGTTCTAATGAATTTTTTAAATATGTCGAATAATAAAATGTTGCATTTATATATTTGACCAGAATATTATAAAACGTGTGTTTTTTTTACCTCCAAAAGAGAAATTCTTCTGTAAATTTATACGTCAAAGAAAAATAATTCCAAGTTTGAAACAAAGCATGCTTTGTATTTCTAATTGAAATCATAAAAAGCCACAATATATATCGACTTACTGTAATCCACAACGATACATACATCTTCTCTTATTAATGTCGGCGCAGCTGGCGCGAACATTGTGAAACGGCCGACAAGATTGAGAAAATTAATTGTCGTCTTCCAAGAGCGCGCGTTCCACCTCCGTGAAAAGGGACTGTGGATATCGAACATGTTACACACGTTGTTTGCACGTGCAATTAATCAACGGTCCTAGCTGCCTTGGGTATCAACCTGAAATTCTATTCGATCGATTCATACATTTCTTTGGGATTTTTCATCTCATAAAATACTTTTTTAGCGATAATACGAAAACTCGCTACCGAAACTTCCGAAACTTTTAAAACTCTTCATATATAAGCATCATTGGCGAACATTATCGTTTTATTATTAAATTATATTCGAAGTGCATTTCTATTATTCAAAGTCATTTTATTATTCAAACTTGGAAAAAGTACTTTTTCTTCTGCAAAAAATATTTGCTTAAATAGAGATTAAAATGTAATATAGAAATGATAAAATAATTATTTGATATTATTTTATATGTAATGTCAATAAGTTTTATTAATAACAAATAATAAATGTTATAAATAATAATTTTTTAAATAAATATATATAATAAAATAACAAGATAATATTTTAAATATTATATATGTAACATTTTCTATTTTTTATTATTTTGACGACATTTTTATTAATATCCAGATTATTAAATCAAGATTAATTTTTTTTGTATATGTTTTCTATACATATTCCGTAAATACTGTATGTATACTGTATTAATTAATGCACATATTATAAAATATATTTGTAATTGTATAATAGATAGAACAGACATAAAAATCTTCGATGCAAAAATGTAGATTAAGTAAAAAAAAAATAATAATTAAGAAATATTTGTTCGCGTGCATCGTTTCAGCATCATAAAAAGTATTAAATAAACATTGAAAAGTTCTTATACATTCGTACGAAACTCTAACGACTTTTCTCATCGTAAACCAGTGGAGCACGTGCCTAAGGTTGGATAATAAGAAGCAAGAAACAAGAAGAGATTATGCTCGTGGCAATTATAGAACACGCGGCAAACTTTTGCAATATCTCTCCAACTTTTATTGCTTAATACAGACTGTATTCTGAGAACGTGAGTAACTTTTTAATCTTAAAGCGCTCGTTCTTTTGCTATTCTCGTATATGTATATTAGCTATTCTAAATGCCATTCGATCTTCATCACAAATACATCTCTCTGTAAGACTTGCTTCTTGATCAAGGATTCTTGTCTCCTTTATTAATAATACACTTTATAATATATATATATATATATATATAATTAACACACATCATATGAAATTAAATTTTTCCTTATTTTTTTATTATTTGATAAATGTAGAAATAAATATTTCTGTATTTATTCTATTTTCATATTACAATGTAAATCAGTCAATAAATTACTGCAAAAATAAAAGAATACATAATAATATATATACACATAATACTAGTTTAGCAGATAATTTTTTAAAATTTAAATAAATTTAAAATAAATATTTAAAATAAATATAGCACATTTTAAATAATATATAAAAATAAAAGTATAGAATATTTAAATAGAGAATAAATTTTTTAATATAACGGAATACATAAATTGTATACGTATATTTTTTTAAATTTTACATGTGTTTAAAGTAAAACACAATAATATTTAATATTTCCCGAAGAATAAAAGATTAATAATTTTTCACTACTCTCTCTTTCTCTCTTTCTCTCGAAAATGTTGGAAATGCGACCGAGAAACATATGCAGAATCGGTCGGTATCTCTCGTGCGCGTAGTTTGTAAACTCAACGCTAGGCTTCGCAGACGATGAATCGATTACTCGTATTTGAAATGACATCTCAATGAGGATAAATTGAGGCTCGTCGCGAACGAAAGCATACTTACCTGGCGCAGAGGTTACCGTGATCAAAAAGGCGGTTCCTCCAGGGCGAGGCTCTTCCATTGCACCACGGTTGAGCTGACCCTTGCGAATATCCCTAATGTGGATATCTCGGGCGTACAATTTTTGATAGTCGGGACTGCGTTCGCGCTATCCCGGTCTAAGATAATGAAAACAGAAAAATTTTTCAGCATTATGAGAAAGTAGAATAAATCAGAATAAAAATTTTCTTTGATGTTGATTAGTCTTAAAGAGAAAAGATTTTTTCCGCGAGTAGAAAAAATGTTTCTTATTTTAATGTTGTTATTGTTTTCGTTGGTTATGCATAATTAATGAGAGAGGCGCTATGTCTCTCTCAATAGAATATTAGTATTTTACTCTTAAGATACTCTTAAATATATCTTACATGTCTTGCAAAATATTAGATTATTTGTCATACGCAAGCAAGTTCGTGAAAGAGATAACAGCTGATAGTTATTATAGAATGACACATACAAGTAATTAATATGTAAATTATTTTTTATATCGTATATATTGCAACATTGCTTTTCAAATAAATCGATATAAACAATTTAATGTAAAATGGAAAAATAATTTAAATAGTTTTCTGATTTGGAAATATATACATCTTTTAATTTTGTAAAAATGCAATCTGCATCAAAGCAAGAATAACAATGACTGATTCATACACTCTATGATAAATTGATCAGAGTATTAGATATCATATATAGATTATTTTCTCCAAATCATATTTAAATTAATCAAAAAATATACAGTCGATAGAATGAAATACACTTGCTCGGATATAATTCTATATAAAATTAATTGCAAACAATGAATATGTTTGCCATAACGCATATTCGCTAAGGACATTTCTTTTCTCCTATCGAACTTGTAATATAAGAAGACGTCTAATGGTTCTGGGATGCCAAAATATATGTTACCGTTATATACAGTACGAATTGTTGCCCTTTAAATTCCATTAAAAGCTGCAGGCACTAAATCGTCTGGTATCCCGTGAGGATAGCAACGGGCATGCGCCCAGGTAGGTACCGGCTGCTGCGGTTCCCGTGGGAGGTGCGCCGAGTACGAAAAGCAAGGACGACGAGTCGGCACAAGGCGCAACATAGTGCGCGCCTAGTTATGTTCTTCTCACGCTCGTGGGGTTGAAACGCTCAGTTTGATCGAGACACGGTCCATCGAGTCACGGAACGGACGCGAAAACCGATGCGTGTCACGAAGTGTTTGTAGGCATTCCTCATTTTTATTTCCTCTCTACTGGCACTTGAAAATAAATGTGTACTATGCTAGCTAAAGATAAAAAAAAATTATTCTAGATTTTAATTAAGGAATTAGTTTAATTAATAATTACAAGATATTAAAAATTCCTAAGGTACATCGAGCGATAATTATTTTTCTGTTCAAAGTCTCGTGATGTGAGAAAATTAACTCTATGAACTTCCCATGCGTTTTCGAAGAGCGCGATTCCAATCGATAACCAGTAATTCTGGTCGCAATCTCGAACATGATTTCCGCTAAAACCGGAAGGACATTCTCTCCGAGAGATTAGGCGCGATATCTAGGAAGCGCAAGACGGAATAGATCGACATGTCGACGATCAATCGCGCGCTTTAAAGTGGGTCGAGGAGGAGTCATAACGTCACGGTCACGTGCGGTGCGTTTCCACGTCCGCTAAGGAACCGCTCAAGGTCGTTGTAGTGGCTGGTGGCGGAAAGAGCAAGGTCGTCAGGGTCGCGGAATCGCGAAGAGAATGTGGAGGAAGGACGCGACGTTGGCCGGGTCGATCGTCGTCGTCGTCGCCACGTTGATTTCTCTGATCATTGACGGGACCGTCGCCGGAAGCTGCAGCTCCGCGAAGCTCTGCTGCCAGGGCAGGGACTCCGGCTGTGTCATCCAGAAGGAGTCGCCGAACGCGATTATCGAGAGCCCGCGCGATAAGCCGTGTTACTGCGATCATGCTTGTCTCAAGCTCGCCGATTGTTGCGATGACTTCAAGGAGACCTGCGGTGGTATGTGCTCGATGATCTTTGAAAGCGATAATCTTCTTGAAAAGAAGATTCGTGTGATTTTAATCAAATGATTCATTATAAAAAAAGATATCGTACTATTTTTGTGTACTAATAACTTATTTGGGAATAATCGAGTAATTTTAGATGAATAATTAATCTGAATCATACGAATTCATTTTTAACTTAATTAAATTTTCTGTATCTATTTAAAGTAAAAATTCATCCTTTAAATACGTTGTTCTTTCCAAGAAATAAAATGAGAGATTCGTATTCATGTTAAAAGATAAATCTTTTTAAAATCATCGATTGCAGATATAAGAAAATTTTATAATATAAATTATTATTACTATTAATATATATACTTATTATTAGTAGTATAAGTTTATAGTTTAAATAATTCAATGTCTATATCAATTACCAAATCTTAATAATTATTTATAGTAAAACCTGGTGTAAAATCAAAACATGGAATAAAAATTGTACTGATTTCAATTAATCGAAAATTTCGAAGAAATCAATTCTAGAGATTAATTAAGAGAATATGACATAGTCTGTCTTTACTAATGGATTAATTCGTGTTAAGTACATGGTTAGACATTACGGACATTATGGATTTTGTAGGATTATACTTGATTAAATACTTATACAATGCATATCTATTTTAAGGTCTTGTAATCATTTCAAACTTAATAATCTATAATCAGCTATTAAATTTTTAATTAATATTAGCATTTGCGTTCTTTATCTAGAAAAAAGTTTTATTGATGGCAAATTTTATTCGCCCATGCAAATTTTTTTTATTATTAGATAGTTTATTTTTTCTCATCTTTTTCACATATATTTCTCAATAAATGAATTAATAGCAAGTGATATGATTTATTTTTTTTTATTTTATAATACTTTAAAATCAATATTTATTTTCAATCAAAATTGTAAAAAAGTTCTGATGTTATGTTTCAACAAGTATCTACAATAACAAACAATCTGCAAACATTTAATCATGTAACTATCAATTTGATATATATAATCGAGCAACTATCAATTTGATGTATAGATGTTGCATTTAACAAGAAACAACGTATGATAAAGCGTTTCATATCGTATGTTTGATGTTCCTTGTTGTATATCGTATAAAGTTATCGACGCATAACGTATTCTAAAATTTGATAAGAAATATTAAGAAAATCAAATCTTTGTAAGTCATTTATTTATGAAAAAATTGATTAAAAAATTTTTCAAAAGTCAGTTTACAAAAGATTGAATATCAAAAATAAACACAAAAAATATGCCTATATAAATCTGTATGTATATGTAGGTGTTTCGTGTTCAGAAGAAATGGTCCGTAAGAAATCATCCTTTATATAGAGATAGGAAGAATTATTACCGCTTGTATTGCTTAAGTAAAGCTGATAACAGAGCTCTACCCAAAGGGTCAGCTCTGACAAAGTATAAAAGAGAAGAATATCTTTGCAAACTCATCCTATAATTTATAGACCGAATCTTTATGGTCATATTTTATAAATTTGACATAATATTGAGATAATGACATTTTCTCAAGTTTTTTGCTCTTTGCAATATCTTGTAGTCCCTAACGCATTTCAAATCTGTTATAATAGAATATTATCTTTACTTACTTTTTTATATTAAATGTTTGAATAATTAAATTAAGAGAATTTAGACTTATCTTTCTACTTTTCAATATTTCTTTCTACTTCTTGATATTTTATTTTATTCTTCTTTTATCGTAATTAATTTTTGGAAACTTTTGTTTGTCGTTAACAAGAAATACTATTGTAATTTTGTTGCCCATATTTACATAATAAATAGTCGAGCTGTCCTATATGTGGTGCGCAGTTTGAAATTATTTCCATTTTTATTGGTCACTGAGTGACGCCTGTTAGTAACAAAAAGAATTAATGTTACCCGATTCACATTTTCATTCGTTTAACGTGGCTATACGTTACCAGTTTAATTGCCAAATAATCAATAGCATACGTATAAATTGTTCACTATAATAACAACGCCAAATAAAAACCAAAAAAAGTTATAATTTATTGTAGATCAATCATGAAATGATTGCAAACGAGGAAAGCAGCAACTATCGATAATAAATATAATTTTATAAATTTTTTTAATAAATGTATTTTTATTAAAAAATGTTATGTTATTTATATTAAAAAATTTTATTAATAAATATAATTTTATTTCGTTGCATTTCATCTGGAATGTACATCTTTAATGCTCCGATTTCTTCTGTAAAACTTCGATATTCGCCAAAGGCAAAGCTACGCCGGAACGCGATTATCACGCTTACCTGCCGAAGAAGTTCTCGACTTAAAAATGTAATGCATAGCACTTGTGACTGAAATTTTTCGAATAGCACAAAGCCGTTCGTCCACAAGCGGGATAATCTTGCTCCCATTCTCATCGAATAAGTTTGAGACGTAATCTATAGATTTTATACGAAATCAAGAGATGTATTGCACATACATTCATATCAAATGGATTGTAAAAAGCAATCATATGAAAAGAATATTCATGCGTATTCCGTCGCTCTCTATAATTCATTTTTAACAAAAATTTATAACATAAATCTTTTATCGTTTTATAATAATACACTAAGAAAAAAGATTATTAAATATGTTTCTTAAGAATGACATGAAAATATTTCAGACAATTTCAATAAACTAGAGATTGATGAAAAATAATTGCACTGAGTGTTTTACTTAATGATATTTTGACAACAGATTTCAAAATTCATTGTTTAAAATAGCTTAGAGAGATCGTAATACATAAAACATTCTCATTTGACACGAATGGTAATAATAACCCTTCAAATTTCAATAGTATCCGGCGACAGCAATAACACATATGACATCATCTTACATAAATTACATAAATTACATAGATTAGAGACGATTATAGACGCATTATATTCTCGTTGTCTCGATGAATTTCCAACATCGCATATGTCATTCGAGCATTCATATTCAGTGAACCGTCAATCGACGGGTAGACAAAATAATTTAGTTGGTGTACACAATCGATCGATATAACCGTGGTCACGATCAGGTTTGGTGAACCAGATGCACCCCGATTCTCTCTAACGTTGAATAACCATAAAAGAGAAACGATAAATAAGTGATTATCTTGTTCTAATCGGCGTTTGCCACTTGCTGGCAAACTAACGCAAAATTTCGCATTTTGAATTTTATCGCGCAGGTGTGTTTTAATACCGGTTTATTCTCTATAAGTCTATAAAATATTCCTCTTATATTTATGAGTATTTACTAAAAAATTGATCACGTATAATAAATCTTTAAATTATCACTCATTGGAAACGTGAGAAAATACTATGTGAGAAAATATTGAAAATATGAATAATTACATTAATACATCAATTTGCGTAGGTAAAAAACGTGATTACATTAATATGTTAGCATCCATCATTTATTAATTATACATTATTTATTGTAAATGCAAATGCAACACGAAATATTTAATTTCATTTCATTAATTTTATTTCTCTTTTTCGTATTGTTTTAATATTTTTATTATGTGCCTCATTTATGATACATTTCGCTTCGCAAAGACCTCTTCAAAGACCTCTTTCCTATATCTTGCAGATAAAAGAGCAAGATCTTATTTATTCGAATACTTCTTCCTAATTGCTTTTTCAAAGCGTAATGATGCTCTATTATAAAAGAAGAACATTTTAGAAGCATAGAATAAATTGTGCTGTTCAACTTTTTGTGTTCAACAGAAGGTTAGATATCACTCTGGGTTAATTGCCCAGATGACTCACATTTTAGATGGCTGTTAAAAATTTGACGCGAAATAATTACTGCTCAATATTTCATCTGCAACGTTTAATTAACGCCGTTAACTAACTATAAACACATCGATCGTTCCATTTTTTAAATGTTGCGATAATGGTTTTCGATTTTGCGCGATTCTGCGTAAAATAGAACAGTACATTGAATTTCTACTTGCAATTTTTATCTCACGTACTTCACGTATTTTTTAATGGCAAAGTATCAGTGATTGCTGACACATTTATCGCACTTTTATTCTCCTTTAATACCCGTTCTCTCGAAAAGACGATATAGCAGAGTGACGTGAACAATGCACGGCGTTTCGAAGGGACGCTCATAAATCGCTATTTCTGCGAGCTGTCTTTTTATAGGCGGCGTAAAATATCTGGAAAATAATGCGATTGATCATTTGATTTCTATTGGACCATACACACATCTCAGTGCTGTATTGTATTGTATTTTGGAGAATTACATCTCGTATAATAATCGTCGTGTTAGACAGAGTTAATTACTTGAGAAGTTAAAGTGAGGAGCTTAAACGAGACTTTTCCGAATGTCCTGCTATCGATTTGTCGATCGCAGTGATGGTTTCGAAGCAATTTTATCGTTCGTCCACGATTAGATGGCCACATCTTAACCCCAGGTTCATCCAATCCTTACAGTGGTGGACTGCGCGGTGAGCGAATGGAGTCCGTGGAGTCCATGCGATAACGGATGCGGAAGTGGCACTCAAAGACGCAGCCGGGTGATCGAGATCTCGGAGAAGAACGGCGGAAAGCACTGTCCTCGTCTGGACCAAGTCAGGACTTGCCGCAGCTTCCAGACATGCCACGCCGGAATTCGTTCGCAACCGCACGCTAAAAGTGAGTCCGTTTCCGGCAAATGAAATAAACCGACGAATGAGTCGCATTTCAATTTAAGGGGAGTTTTTGAAACGATAAAAATTAATCTTGATTTATATATAGTATTTGATTTTTGTATTATAATTAGTCGATTATTGAAATTATTATCACGTTTTTTTCTGTTTTAGATTCACGAAATAAAATATTAATAATTCTCTTATAATAAGTATAATTATTAATTATTACGATTTTCGCGTGTGAAATTAATTAGTAGCTAAATTTTAATATAAAGAATAATATAAGAATAATATAATTTAATATAAGAAGAATTTAAAGAAAATTGAGATATAAAGAGAAAAAAATTAATTATTTTCTTTCTTCTTGAGTTTTCCAATTTTACACAACATACACATTCTCGCGACATTTTCCACGAGTATTTTAGAAAGTTTACAATCATACGCGGTTTACTCTCGAGATCACGTATTTACCACGACGCAAAATTCTTGACGTCTACCAACTGTTTCTCGATCCTAGACAATTTTCTTTCATTTGCCGCAGGTGTGACGCTTCTTGCGCTTTTTCCGGGTGATGGGAATACTACAGACGTAAGGATCAAGGATAGGATTGTCGATAAAAGGTAGGTAGGTCAAGCCCCCGTGCTTAGCTTTGGATCGTGCGAAATACGATTTGCCACACATGTTCCCAATTCGAACAGAAACAATGCTGTTTTCAGTCATTCGATCGATGCGTCGTAAAAATAGATAAAATAACGACAAATTCGTGAGAAAATTAAAGTCCAAAATCCTTTATATTTGTTTCACGTGGATATTGTTAAAGTAAATTTTTAAAATAATTAATTAAATAATATAATGAATTTATTTACAATAAATTTCTTAAAATATTTATATATGTAATGATAATTCATACTTTGTCTTAAATTTATAATCTTAAATTGCGACTTACATGTGTTAGGTGTTATTAATAATGCAACGCAGTTGGTGGGCAGATTAATTGGTGCTCTTAATTTTCAAAGTTCATTAGCTTCGAGATTATATACAAAGTTTATCACATTAAAAGGTGTCTCTTGAAATTTCTCGACAGATACATTTTTAATACTACTTCACTGTAACTAACAAAGATAAAATCGTCAATGTGCCGAGAATCTAATTTGACACGTGCTTCAGCTTGTCACAAAACACGTAACGCGAATATCGTGTCGTAGAATATCAAGATCTTTTGGTCATGTTGTCGAATGAATAAAGCAAGTTACAAGACCGGCAGCAGGCAACGGAATCCTTTGGGCCATTACACAATAGTCCGATGGCTGAAAAGAAAACATGAGAGAACTCGTTCTGGTTTATATTTTGCAATCTGCAATATAATGCGATATTATACACGTTTCAGAGGCAGCTGCGTTGCTTTCACTATTGTACGCGTCTCGCAGGGTTGCAGTAAAATTTCGGATTTACTCTCGGAAGGTTGGTATAAGTAATATACGATAATTATATCAATTATACGATAATTGATCTTCCAATATAAGAATCGGAAATATTATTTAATGGAATTCTACTTTTATTACCGAAATCGGATATTGAGATATGAAGAAATATATGAGAATATTTTTCTCTCAGAAATTGTGCGCTTCCTCTCTATTAAATTTTGTGGAAAAACTGAAATTTATTTATTTCTTTTTACACAGATATTGGTATACATATACATAATTTAGCTGTATTTTTTATTATTTACATATGTTTCATTTTTCGATGTTATAATTTTTAATTTTTTTATTAAATTACAAATTATAAATTGCTATGAGAGTCGGATGCATTTATACTTAAATAAAAATGTAAAATACTGTTATTTATGTATCAAATTGGAATATCATTTCGTAGAAATTTATAAATTATTAAAAGTTCAAGCTTTAATTTCGATAAATATATAATTATTGATATAGTTATATAATAAATATATAATTTAAACAAATATCTTATTTTTTATATTCTGATAATTAAATTAAATTAAATTAAAAAACATCTTAGGACAAACTTAGATAACATTAAATTCTGTAAAATTTTCTTTGTCACATTTTTCGTTAAAAGATTTATAATTTTAGATAAGTTCTAGAAAGACTTTTGTCTTTTGAAAGCAAAAAATTTCAATTAAAATAGAATATATAATACAAATGCTATTATACAAGCATTACAGTTTTAATGTTTGTGAATTATGTTCTTACAATTTTTTTTCTTTAAGAATTAAAATTTAAAGTATCGAAAACTATTGGAAAAGAAAATTAAAATTATCATTTATAATAATTAATGAAATTGCATGAAATAATATGCTAGCTTCGCAAATGCATGCTATTTATATATTATATATTATACTTAAATATCAACATAGTAAATCTGCATTTTTTTAATATTATATTTATGTATAAATTTATGTATTTCTTTTCTTTTTTTAAAAAGTTTTAAGAAATCGAAAAAGCTGCTTTCTCATGTCAAGAATAAATAAAGTCAGATACTTACAATTATTTAAAATTACATAGTTTATTTTAAAAACAAAGTATATATTCTCTTAAGTCTGTATTTCCTCGTGGAAAAGAAAAAGTAAAGGCAGATATTACACTAGAGAGCCACTTTTAAGACTTAACATTTTTCAAGTTTTTGTAATTATAATGCTTTGAAGAGTCAATAAATGTCTGTCTTGTTGCAAAAAAATAGTTTGCATTATAATAGGATCCGCTTTAAGGGAAAAATTGTAGCTTCATGCTACACTTAGCAGTTCGACATTGTAATAAAAATAAAATTCAGTAGTCGGCACATGTCTCGCAAGAGTTTTAAACTTGTAATATTAATTTCAACTTTTGATATTCTCATTTATATCGCGTGACGCACGAAACTCGAAAGATTATGCGCTCGCACGCGTTTATACATTATATACTATAAATATATATATTATTGAAAAAAGTTATTTAATTCTCTTTTAAACAAAATATTGCCCTTCTTTTAATCAAACTTTTGAATAAAATGTAATTTGAAAATATTTATTAAAATAATGTAATATTTTGAACAGCATATATTAAGCATTGTTATGATGAATATTTTATCTAATTAAATTATATACAATTATAAGTTCTGTATTAATCTTGTAATTACAGGAATTTTCTGCACGCTCGGTTTTTACTACAAAAGAACGAGATCTCTTATCTAGAATTGTATAATAAAGTAGGGCTTTTAAGGGAATCCAAACCTAAACTCCTCAAAATTTGAATACGTAATTCGCATAATGATGAATCGCGTCGCCAAAGTGGAAATGAAGCGACTCGATCTAGTCTCAATTAACGTGCGCTACGGTTGCGCGACGTAACGTCATGTAAATTGGAGCGTAGCTTCCGCGACGCTGTTCTACGACGGCTGTTATCGCAAAAGATCGACCGGATGAAGTGGATGCGGTGGCGAAGATAACGGTTGTTTCCTACCAACGACATATCAGACGCAGATAAGACACGAACGCGGAAATTTGCGGACAAAAGCAAGTTATTTCGATGATGGCTTACTTATTATCTTTATATCATTAAATTAGGCGTTTTGTTTTTCCCACTTTATGCATTTTGGTCTAATCACTTCGCTCTTCTTATCAAACTTAGTAGAAAATAAACGTTTAATTACTTTGTGATATTTATAGTATATATATTTTATTTAAAAGATGATTGAGAAAGGGATTATTTATTTCTCCCATGCCTTTCGATTTTGGATGACTTCCAGTTTTATCTGTAATATTTATGTAGTATAAATGAATTTTTTAAATTTCTAAAATAAAATGTCCACAGTACCTGACGATATCTGGAATAAAGCATAAAATAGAGATAAAATAGACTACAAGAATGAAATAATAATAATATTAAACTTAATATTATTTAAAATTATTTAAAATTACAATTACAAAACAAAAAGAACATAATATTAAAGTTTAAATAAACAAAAAATAACAAATACACATAAAAATTAAAATAAGAATTAAAATCAAGAATTAAAACTTTGGTTACTCGTTGGTCTCTTAAAATTAAAATTGAAATCAAAATCACAAGCAAAATCAAAATTTAAATTGGACTTGAATTTCAATCTTAAATATTAACTATTATAATTAAAAGATTAATTAATAAAATAATTAATAAAAGAAAATTAATTATAATATATTATAATTATTAATTTTAACTTTTTTTGTCAACACTATACGACGTTAAAAACCGCAAGAGAGTTTTTAGGCGTCTACGTTAAAAGCGTACAATATTAAAAGCACCTTTTTTCAATAGACAGCGCATCTCTCACGGGCCTAATTATAACAAGACGGTATATAATTATAATAAAATATCGCTTTCGAACGAAAGCGATAAGCGTCTAAAATTGTCGTAGGTTCACGGATCTGCGTGGAACGTCCCGATAACGAGAGTCTAGATCGATACGTGGGGATCGGCAAGTGGAAACTATCGACCGATATCGCCGGCAGCAACAATCGGCGCGGTCGATCGACGAACTCTTCCTGTCACGGCAAATGGATCGGCGATTCACGGTTGCTAGTGGATTGTCACGATCCGCGATGCGAGCAAGTGCCGCCTCGGTATACCTCGCAGGTGTTCCGCGGTCGCAGGGACGTGGACACCACGGACGTCGTCGTCATCGTCAGCAATCCGGATAGATCCGTGAGAAGACGTAGAAGAGGCAGACGACGGAAGAGGAGCAGAAGGAGAAGACACGACGTCGCCGCTGTCGTGGAACGGTGAACGTTCCTACGGCGGCTTCCGTGTCGCAGCTTCTTCCCCGCGAGTGTCTCACTTCTCACATTAGAGAATCCTTTCCTCTCTTCCTTCCTCTACCCTACGTCTATTATACATGTATAGTGTATGTGGTAATTGTACGTGAGAAAGGCACTTCAGAGATTGATCTCGCAGAAATTTCGAGTCCCTCTTCCCGTAGTGAAGTCGACTTTGAATTATAAAGATTGACAATATGAATAGCATTTCATAAATTAAACTTCCAAGCTACAAATAAATAGCAGAAAGTTAATAGAATTTTGATTTCAAATTTAATTATTTTTTTCTTTATCAAAAAATATCGGATTTTTGTAAAAAATTTTTGTAAAAATGAAAAAAATGCAAAGATTATATTCTCGACATAAATTTCATTTTTTCCATTCTTTTAATATATTTTTTCTATATCTAATATTACCAATTATAATATAATCAACAATTTTCTGCTATCTTTTTTGTTTAATTGTATTTTATTTTCATTAATTATTATTTGTAACCATTTAATTATCTTCGACGTGAATTTTTCTCGTGTTAAGTCTTTTAAAGCTCTAGAAGTTAAAATATAGTAAAAACTATTTTATTTTATTTCTTTCTTCCTTCTCGCCTTTTTTTATCCTATCTGACTGTAGCAATCGGAATCAGATTATCCTGATAATTATCATATCGATTTTATCATTAGAGCGGACTTGCAAAGCGTCCATCGGGAGACAGTGTTTCTTATTCCCTTGACACTTTGCAGGGAAACATGCATGATTATCGATATCAGCACAACTATGAGCGCATTATGTATTAGCATTATGATTCACATTGTGATTGTAGATTTAATAAATTGTTAGACGACAAGACTATAGAAATAAGGATACCAAAAGGAAACAAGAGTGCTGATAATATATATATGTTGCATTTCCTTTTTTATTATTTTTCCTCTGCTTTTTCCTGCTCTTCGAATTTAATCTAATATATTATACGTATTGTTGAAGATATGTGAATTATATGTATATACATATACATAATTCATATATCATTCAAATATAGCAAATAAAAAAAGAATTTTATCATTATTATAATCATAAATATTTGTATTTTATTAATAACATGTGACTATATTATAGTATCTCTCATGAGAAAGAAGATTTATAAAAGCAAAGAGATATATGCTGCTTTATCTACGTAATTTTTTTATTATCATTTTATAATATAACCGACATTGTAAAAATTCTTTTATATATTTAAAATACAGGGTGTTCCAAAATTAGTATTATTTATAATTCGAAAATTGTAATGCCTCGACACTAAGAACAATATTCTCTTTAATTCGAACTCTAACAATAAGGATTTATTATGGCTTCGTAGTAATGTTAATTTAATGTATGCGACACCTTGTAAGTTTTGAAATGTATAATTTTCAATGTATCCCTAAATATATACATATATTATATCAAACTTGTATTGCGAATATATCATATGATATAATAAAATTTTCATGAAACCTCGTTTTTTAGTTTTTAGTATCTGCGGCTGTAAACGCGCGGAATGTTATCATTTACGAGTACATATCGAGTGCATGTCGAGAGGATAGAGACTCTCGAAGCGAGATGAACAAAATGTAAAAGCACAGTCAATAAAGGACACTTGCACATCTGAATTACTGAGCATAATTGAATTAAAGTTCAAGACAATTCCTTGCCCATTTATCTACAATCTTTTATCTTTGTTTCTTTCTTTAAACTATAAAATTTTATTATGATCTATCTAATAATGAAGAATATATAACATACACTCGTATATATGTATCGGTTAGAAATTAATTAATTGAATGAAATACTTATCAATTATTTAGCTGGATTATAAATTACTATATTGGATAATAATTGCATGCCAACAAACATGATAATCATAGCTTATTGTTTATAATCATTCATTTCATGAATAATAACGTTTAATATCAATAATAATTAACATATTGCGATTTAAGTCTGCTTTAATTACAAATAAATATATTATACAATACTTTGAATATATATTTACAAAAATATTTTATATTCTCCAAAAACACAATGATTACATTAATATGAAAAAATTAGGTGTGATTTGCGATAAAATAATATGTCGGTCTATTTTCGGATTCACGTGATTATTGCAGTTTTAACCGCTTTTGATTTCCTTCGAAAACAGGAAAACCTATGCATAGGATTTGATTTGAGCAGTGATGCTTTCATTGTTTTTTTGATGCCGTCTTTCCTGTCTATCTCGCACTTCCTGGACGGATCCTGCGGTCACTTGGAAGCGCGATTGTTTATCGTTGACAGACCGCCATATCCTTTGCGATTCTCTTATAAATGCTGACATCAAGACACTCAGTTAATAACTCGTTGTGTCTCAGGAACAATCCTTGTTCTCGCGCTATCGAGATATCAAGCTTCGCTATCAATTTCCAGCATACGCATCACGTGTTCGCTAATCTTTTACTTGTCGAATTAGTTGCTCGCACTTGTTGACAGTCAACATGTCGGGAAACAAGAAATCGGATATTCTATACCTGTTTGATCGACCCGCAGAGCCGGTGTACGTGCCCAAGGGAGAGAACCAAGTCGCTTTTCAAGTACCGGATAACTATCTGGTGAGTCTGATCTTGTTTGGCGCTTTTATTCCGCGAATAAATTTGAATTTCACAACTGTAAATTTGAAGCTTTGTAGTTTATATGATTTTGAATCTTTCGATTATATATTAAAAGTAAATTGTATCTTAGATATCTCTCTATTCATCACATGCAATATTTTTTAAGTTATTTAAAAGCTAAAAAAATTGTGAAGAAATGTGTGAAGCTAAAAAAATTGTGAAGAAATGTGTGAAGAAAAGAAAAATATAAAAAGATTCCTTTTAATTCCTTTATCATTATGTCTCTTGAATTTCTCTCATATTATCTTCTTCTTCATGTTTTACAGAATTTTTATAAACAATTTGTAATATTAAATTTATTTCCATAATATGCAGAATTTTATTTAAATGAAGAAACAACTTTAAATATTTTTTCATTAACATTATTGATCATTTTTCTTTGTAAACGGTTCTTCAATATAAATTTCGCTTTTTTTTCAAACAAATTTACAGCCTGAAAATCGACAAGCGATGGCTCCTGCGGTGTTTAACCGTTTCGCTGATGACACCAAGACAAGAGTTCAAGTGAAACAGATTAGTCTGCCAGATTTAAGCGTCCCTCTTCAACTTGGACGTCGAGAGCCCTTCTCTCTTTTCATCCCTAAACATCGAAAATTAGCTGCGCGACTTATTGACATCTTTTTAGGTTCATTTCCGTGATTTTATTTATATATAATATCTTATTTTGCTTGCGTATAATTAAATTAATTAAAATTCTTATTTTGCATAATAAGTTTTTTCGCACGGACAAACTTTGCGTTTTAATAATTAACTTTTAATTTATTTTATACAGGTATGCGAACCTACGACGATTTTCTTTCGGTATCTGTTTACTGTCGCGATCGCGTTAATCCCGAGATGTTCGTTTACGCTCTCTCCGTGGCGATCCTGCATCGTCCCGATACCAAGGATTTGCCGATACCACCGCTGTCGGAAATTTTCCCGGACAAGTACATCGACAGCGCGATATTTGCCAGAGCAAGGGAGGAAGCCAACATTGCACCAACTGGCTCCAGGGTATAATGCACTTGCTCGCTGACGCATTAATTACCAACAAGCCCGTTTACTCGATTATGCGGTTTAATTAACCAGTTAACTTATTCTTTGAATGCAAATTGTGATTTAAAATGCTATGGAATTTTCTTTCCAATTTTATTATGCTTTTCGATATTAAATTCGGGAAAAGTATCATAACAGACCAAGACACACACGTTTGATTATGTTCTAATAGATTGTACTAGAAGCTCAAATAGCGTATTACAACCTACTATAGTTTAGTAAGCGAATCGTGTTTAGATGTTCGATTGCAATTTTCGGAAATTTACATACTTTAAAGACCGTTTTATTAGATTTGTATTCCAATATTGTTCGCGCAAGTTTCTAAAGCGAAGAGTTACAATAAAAATTACTATAACGCGATAAATAGTCGTTTCGATAGAGAGGATTGCTTTTGTCAATCTTCAAACGTGAACAATTTTATTATTACATCATATTCGCGTAATATATTCGTAGTTGCCCATCGAAATTCCGCGAGATTATACCGCGTCGGATCTCGACGAGGAGCATCGCGTGGCTTACTGGAGAGAAGACATCGGGCTCAATCTTCATCACTGGCACTGGCATCTGGTCTATCCATTCGAGACTGACATAAGGATTGTTAACAAGGATCGACGTGGCGAGCTATTCTATTATATGCACCATCAGATCCAAGCTAGGTAAGACACACGTAAGATAAGATTGGATACCGTATCGTGCCGCAAGATCACGCAGACAACCGAGGATCAAATTCTGACGTCGATCGTTGTTATCGTACGGAAACTTGTCTCGAATCTGATATTCCAGCATTGTTTGCCAACGGGTTCTAGTACGCATTCACACGTAGGAAATCATCGAGGAAACTTGTTACGTAGCTAATTTAAAAAATGAAACTCGAATGCTTGTTGAAGCACTTATCGAAATACATCAGAGAAATTAAACGCAACGTTATAAAGAATATCTCGTATAAAGAGAATTATATTAAAACTTCAAAGTTATTATCTTTCTCAACGCGTAATAGCCTTCAGCTGTTCATGAAATTTTAATTTATTTTTATAAACTCTATTTATATAGAAAAAGCGACTTTTCCGTAAGAAAGCTTAGTTTTTCTTTTTATTACAAAAGTATTTGCCGTCAATTTATGATTTGCCGCTAGATCGAACATTTGCGGATATCACCTGCGGGAATTTCCGAGGTTTCTGCCGTTATTATTCTCATTCCGTCTGATTTCTCTCTTTTCGCAGATACAATTGCGAACGTCTGTGCAACCGATTGGGTCGGGTGAAGCGTTTCCACAATTGGCGCGAGCCGATCCCGGAGGGTTACTTCTCCAAGTTGGATTCGTTGGTGGCCAGTCGCACCTGGCCGGCCCGTCCGGCCGGTGCCGTCCTCAAGGATATCAACCGTCCCGTGGATCAACTCAGTTTCGATCTTCAAGATCTGGAGAGATGGCGCGATCGCATCTACGAAGCCATTCACACCGGCGCTTACATCAACCCCCGAGGCGAGAGGGTGCCTTTGACCGAGTTTGGCGGCGTGGACGTGCTCGGTAATATTATGGAGGCCAGCATTCTGTCGCCCAATCAAAATGTCTACGGGGATCTTCATAATCTCGGTCACGTTGCTATTTCTTACTGTCATGATCCGGATCATCGCTACTTGGTAATGGGTTACGCAATCATATGTTGTTATAATTATGAAAAGATATGAAAATAACAATATATAATTTTTAATATTAAAGATTTCTTCTTAACTGTATCGATCGTTTTGTCTTTCCAATTTTTTAACATGCAGTATCTCGGATAAAAAAAAAAGTCGCATCTCTACTTTTCACGTTGAGAATTAATGAAAATAATTATATTACATGTTGAAATAATAAACGGAATATTTTTTCTTCGTGTCCCTTTATAGGAAACTTTCAGCATCATGGGAGAACCGGCCACCGCTATGAGAGATCCCATCTTCTACAGATTCCACGCTTTCGTCGACGATGTATTCCTGGAGCACAAGAATACACTTCCCGAGTACAGCCTACAGCAGGTGGGTGTGCACAGCTGTCCCGCTTCCGCGATATATCATCAGTTCACCCTAGTATATAATGCCGCTAAGTACATGTAACATGTGGCCTCAAATTACGCGAAGCCACCAGACGACAAAAACGCGTTAAACTATTTAATTTAACAAGACCGCTGGACATGTCGGAATTTATCAATCTTTTTGCCATTGTGGCGTTAATTTAGTAAACCGATAAATAATACGTCAATTTTATTTTATGATTATTAATAATAATATAGGATATTTTTATCAATCTTTTTTCCAGTGCGCAATTTCGTTAAATACTAAACCGATAAATAATATATTAATTTTGTTTTATAATTGTTAATAATATAGAATATTTTTTAATTATCTTTACAAAAGTCTTTGAAAAATTCTTTTCTTAGTACACATTTAATTTTTTTTGACGTAATTCAACCGATGTAATTTAATCTTCTCACCAACACAATTTTTAAGTTTTTAATTCTGAATAACTTGGTAATTAAAACTTAGGTTAAAGAGACGTAATTTAAAGACGTGGTCGGAGAATTAAAAAATTTAGAATTAATTTCACTACTTCTTTATATTCTTAAGTCTTTACGTGTCACATTATTTTTATTTTTAATATGAAGAGCTTCTTAATTAAACTTCAATTTAAATTTTATTTTGAAGAATGCCAGCCTTAAATCCTATCTTGGAATTTGACTGAAAGATTGAAGAGAAATAATTACCGAGACCCTCTTTTTATACACGGCATTAGCGCGGAATTTAATGGACTTTTTTTGTTCGCTCATGCGATTTAGTTGGACTTTCCCGGCGTGGAAATCACGGACATAGGAGTGCAGACTCCGAATCAACCGGAAAATCTTCTCGCTACTTTCTGGAACAAGAGCGACGTCGATTTATCCCGCGGTCTCGATTTTACACCGCGCGGTCCGATTCTTGCTAGATTCACTCATCTGAATCACGCCGATTTCACATACAAAATCACTGCCAACAATCGCAATAACGCACCGCGCCGAGGAACCGTTCGTATATTCATGGCCCCCAGACAGGACGAACGTGGACTGCCTTACGTCTTTAGAGATCAGAAGGAGCTCATGATGGAAATGGATAAATTCACTGTGCTATGTGAGTCGCTTTCATATCAATTTTGTTATTATTTTTATCCTGATTTATTTTTAACATAATCTTATAATAATAAATCTTATAATAATAAATCATATATCCAATAATATATCCAATAATAAATATAAACATACATTAATGTTGGAAATTTGTAGGACTTCTTTTAATTTATTTTTAACATATGACGATCGAAAATGAAAATATTAAAATAATAATATATAATAACGTATAATTTTTGTCATATCAATCTACTTTTGTACATAATCAGAAATTCCAAAAATAAATATATTTTATTATTAATATATTTATTATTTTATTATTTTATTATTTTAAAAAAATATGATAAGCAAGTGATGTTTAACAATACTTGAATTTTATAAAATTTTTGTTTACTCGTGTCTAGTGAAACCAGGACAGAATACTATCGAACGTAAATCAACGGAGTCCTCGGTAACTATACCGTTCGAAAGGACATTCCGCAATCTCGAAGAGAACAGACCGATCGGCGGCGATAGTCTGGAACAGTTCAACTTTTGCGGGTGCGGCTGGCCGCAGTACATGCTGATACCTAAGGGAAAGGAGGAGGGATTCCCAATGGACCTCTTCATCATGATATCCGATTACACCGGTGACGCGGTGAGTACTTTTTATACTTATTGAGCTCTTACGGGGGGGTGCTTAAGAGCTTACGGTGTGTCAGGTGATGGAAACCTTCCAACCTTCTCTTTTCGTCCCTTTTCCTATCCCTCTTCTTTTTTAACGTCGTTCCGGAAAGACGCGTTTGCGTTACTTCGCTTCTACCCGCAAAAAGAGAAAAAGGAAAAAAAATAAAACGATATCCAACCAACGCGCGCTAAAGGAATTGCTTTACCGTTCCGCGGTGACGCGTACAGGTGGAGCAGCCCGAATCAAGGGATGGATGCAGGGACGCCGTGAGCTACTGCGGTCTGCGGGACCGCAAGTATCCGGACGCGCGACCCATGGGTTATCCGTTCGATCGCAGAGCTCGAGTTGGCGTCGAGACTCTGCCCCAATTCCTCACCGGTAATATGGCGGTCACGCAGATCACTATCCGCCACACGGACACTGTGCTACCGCGAATGCGATCCGGAAGCATGAGCAACACCCTCACCTTCGCCTGAATCTGATGATTGACCGACCGACCGACCCACGGAGCACTCTCATGTACCTCCGCCGAGAATTCCGTCACCTCCGATCTTCGCCGCATTCCCGCGATCCTGCAATATCCGTCGGAGATCGCGACTGATTGCGGGGGAGGAAGGGGGCAGGAAGGGGTGCAAGAGACATGGTTCTATCTAGTCTATATCCTTGGACGATGAATGCCGGAATGACGGGACGAGAGTGAACGAGAAAAGCCGGAGGTTGGACGACACGCTATTTCCATATTTTCAAGACGCAGGATTATTCGGAGAATCTTTTCTTGACGCAGGAACGCACAATCTTGTACAAGAATAATTGCTCTCTAAACGCGAAATTGATTCTCCCTCGAAAAACGATATTTCACTTTAGTTGTGTTCATGTTGTAAAACATAGCGTTACTCTCCTATTTTGCCGCAATTTTTTTTTCATGCGTACTTAGTTTCTTTTTAGTTATTTTAGCATACATTTATATAAATATAGCGCTTTGTATCTGCGTAGCTTACAGTTATATTTGCGTACTTCTCTTATATTTTAATTTTAATTTTATAAATGTTTTTCTATTACGCGAATCAATTCTATTTGAATCTTTCTCTCGAACGATTCTGTAGAGATTGTTATATTTACGATTTCACAATTTACACGTCTACGAACAATAAGTACCGCTTAACAAATGTATCTTTGCGTAAAAACGGGAACAAAGACATGCCTCGGACGCCCAAGCGAAGCTTTTCCTGTCTTCTTTCTCTCGTTTCACCCGCATTACGGAAACTAGATTGTAGGAAGCAGCAAATGTAAAAAGCAAAAAAAGATAAAAATAAAGTCTATGCAAATTAGACGCGCGTTTTTTAAACTCTTTTATCGCATTTCCGGTGTTGAAAGCAAGCGACAATGTTTCGAATACACGAAAGCATCATTTAGCGAAGATTCTAAATAATTTAATTAAATATTTCAAATTTTGTCACATAAATTTCTCTCTTTCTCTCTGTCTCGTTAGCATCACATAATTAGTTTTTACATTATTATTAAAAATATTATTAAAAATACCTCTATCTCGCATACATATTTTCGTAAAATATTTTCAAAATATGTATATATTAAACTAGGAATATTTTTATTATATTTCCTTTAGTCGCCTCGTTATCATAAAAATTACGACGGGATATTAACAGAAGAATGGAAAAAATAATGAGATTTATGTGTATGTCTTTCATTTATAATTTATATTATAATTAACATATTATAGTTTAATTACTAAGTACATCTCTATCAACTGATCCGCAGTCAACATTTTCATATGTATCTAACAAAAATGTCGCTCGCTTTAGAGTCGTGCAATCCTGTTCTCTCCCCCCAAATGCATTTATCACGCGTTTGTTTCTGCTAGTTCGCAGCTAGACGGACGTGGATTTATTCCTGCGAGGGGTGGAAATAGGGACGGGCGGACGAAGATAGATACACGTTTACGACCGTCGCTTAAACCGTCGTCCCTTCCCCTAATAACACTCGCGCGGTTATTCAAAGATTCCGTTTCACGCGAGCATACATTTGAACGTTTGATATACCGAGTCGTCTAGAAGCAGCAATCAAAGGGCTAAAATTATTTGTCACCGTGCTAAGGCGTGACGACTGACTGCGACACCATCGCGCAATATTCAAATCAGAAGAAGTGATAATGCATATTTCGTGTTTGTCGATTTGTCGAGAGAAATTTAATGGCGCTACGACAAAAAAAAAAGTCGTTCAAAACAATATTCGATAAAGTGCATGTTAATTTCTAATTTTTTAATTTTTATAAAATATTTTCATAAAATATATCGACTCTTTATATAATAATTAAAATCTTATTTTTTATACGATATACATATCTTAATTATGTATAAAGGTTAATTTATAAGAAAATTACAATATATGTGTATATTATTTATAAAATAATCAGAGTTTTCTCGAATAGTTGAAAAACTTCTATTAATTATTTTTTGCAAGAAGATAGAATTTCTTTTCATTACAATTTCTTTACATTCATCTTAAATAGCTTAAATACCTAAATAGCTTAATAATTGCATCTTAAAGGACACTATTATGGTTTCGTTCAACTGTTATTTTTGAACTCTCTATTGTAATGTGTATACACGTTCAAAGGTGGAAAAGGGAGTTAGACGAAATGGGTAACACTGAAACGGTATTGGAGTCATGTTATAGATCAAAGGGCACAATGGAAGAGAACACTGCAGATGTTTCAGTTTCAAAAACGAAATGGATTAAATTGGAATATATTTCATCAAATATATATATCATAAATAACATTTGAGCACAAATAACATTTTAGTTGTTTGTTTCACGCTTCTTTGTATAATTTCTTGTATAAATGCAAATAATGTGTGTGCTTAACAAATATATAAATAAAAATCTAAAATATCAGATAAACAACTGTAAATAAATACAGAAGAAAAACTTCTTTTTATCATACACATAGTCTAAGTGCTCGAAACAGGAGTGATATTTCGGATAGATGAAATGAGATCCATCAAAGAAGTCGTACGAGTAGACAGATGTCTTGTGCATTTAGATATGCATTTACATTTCGTAACAACTTTCTCTTTACCTTCCTAAGTTACAGCGAAACTATTTACGCTTTGCAGCGATTTGCCGAAATGAATTTAGGGAGAAAGCATGCAATCCAATATTTAGTCATAATAACTTGTGATATACACACACATCTACATACGAATATTTTCATATACATTGCAGTGACCTGCGCAGGTAATAAGGATCGTTAGGATAAATACCTCTCGGTTAAAAGCACGATCCTTATTTCGAACATTCATTTCCTTTATTCAAGAAGATTTTGCGAGACGAGACGTTACGTTTATAACGTATATAAAACTGAAGTACGGGCGTTTATGAAATTGCTACGGAACTACGTTACCGTCTCAGGTATACGTTCTATTTTGCAAAGGAAGAGCACGTCTTGTCCTTTGAATTTAAACGAAGAGCTAGTTCATTTGCACCAATTATATTTTCAGCTACGATGTATTATACATTACGTTTCATTCTTAACAGTTTGTTATTAAAATCTCAAAAAAATAATTTCTTTGGTAACGTCAAAATTTCTTTTGTAACGTCATTATTTATATTAATAGAATCAGAATATTACCACTATGATAAACAGTGCTTTTAGTTATAAGTATAGCACTACAAACAGTGAAATTTCATTGAGCAGAATCAATCAGTATTCATGATTGATTTTTTAATGAAATCTTCCTGCTATAATCAATGAAATATAAGATAGAGAAATAAAGTGATGATAAAGTGTTTTCATCGAAAATTATATGAAATATTTTCTGATTTTCGATGAAATCTCGTCATTGCTTTAATTAGTGACATTTTTACTGATCCAGTTTAAAAGTGTAAATAATAGTTTAATAAGCTTACTATTTTTAGAAGGAATAATAAGGAATTATTTTACGAGCTACTATTACGGTTGCATGATGACCATTTCTATTACCCAAAGATAATTACGTAGGTTCATTCAAATTACTCCTGAGGTTTCTGACGTTGTGTTCTGACCACGTAATTTCCTGATATCGATCACTATGCACCGCGGCGCCAAAGAGGGGATGCAAAAAAGACCATTAAAGGTGATCGCGTTATATGTCTCGCTACTTTAGTGAAAATCAAGCTGCTTCCTTCCCTGTCACGAACCTTAATTCGGAGCAATTAGCGGCGCATGCATGCTGGGTGTGTACACAATTTGTAGTCGTGTGTATGTTAATGGAGAGATAATCGGTCATTAAGTCTCATAATATTCGAGGGATTACTTCCGCAAATAATGGTATTTTAATACCATTATTGTTGTTTTGTTTCACGAAATAATATTGTAGACTATTTAACTTGTTACAAATTAATCAAAATTATTAATGCGATATATGTTATTGCGAGGTTGTTCGCATGCAATTTATTGTATATTGCACGGGGAATTGTCATTTACGACTGTAATTAATATCATTACATACATTAGGCTGTATACATATATTTATACCTATATACATATTTCAACTTTATAATTACGAATAGGCATTTTATTGCAATTGACATAGGCAAAAAGATTTTACGATTTTTTAATTATTAAAATATAGGAAGATACAAACTCTAACTGTATATATATTCATTTATTTTTGTTTATTGTTATCTATCGTTGTTATTTGAAGGTTCATTTGAAATTTGTGTTTTTTGTGCAAACATATTTGTTTGATAAAAAACTCACTGTTTTTTCTCATTCTATTAACCTAATTAATAACTGCATAACTGTGCAGCACTGTTTGTCCACAACGCACGCATGCACGCAATACCTTTCACATGTGCACATAGCCAAGTTCATATGATGCTTGTTAAGTTCATATGATGCTTGTTAAGTTTGACGATGCGGAGAAGAGTACACGAGCAACGAAAATCAGCCCAAATCCAAACTTTGCTATGTGAAAATCACGTCAAATGTGTAACATCCGGCGCGATAATAATTGTTCCGGTAATAATGTAATCGAATCACACACGGCCATATTAGCGAGAAGACAAATAATATATAACGGAATTAAATAAATTGTGTGCGATATTAATTCAAACGAAATTTATCCATCAAATTAATTTCAAATATTGAGTTTGCATTCCTATCCTCCTGCGACTTTTCTAATGTACTTAATGTCCTGAATAAGATACTACTCGATAAGGGCACGATACAAGAGCTGTAATGTATATCAGCCATTTTTTCGCGGTCTCTTTTGGGAGTGCGATTTCCCAACTGCATTAGGCCGGGAGAAAGATAATATCGTATTCGCATCTCGATACATTTGTTATAGAGAAAAGAAAGAAAGAGGATGTCTTAGCTCTCAGAGGAAACACGGCGAGAATGAGAGTCAAATATCTTAAGTCCTCAAAGGAGGCTTTAGTCTTCTGTATATATTTACGGGAAGCTCATTAAAATCAGTAATTACGCTTGCAGACTCAAAGAATTTCCAAACAGGATTATCACCCTGTTAATCATACGCTACAGAGTGGGGTAATGACATGCAACGTAATACCTCGGAGTTATGTACTTTTCACAGAGCAGCATCAGCTGCACTTAGGCTTCTCTCGCAGGTGAGTCATGTAATATCTCTACGAAATATCTATGTCGTATCTTAGATTTCTAATATTTATAAAATCGAGAATATATCCATAGAACATAATTGCAAAATAAATGCGCTGATGAAATTTTACATAAAAAATACACCTTTTTTGATTAACATATTTAAGATATATTTTTAGCCACGCATGCAATTTTAAATATAATTACAATAAAATATGATTCGTTTTTGTTTTTTTAAGTAATTTTACGCGTTTTTTACTATTTCTCGTGCATGTGAAAAAGTATTTTTATAGATATCGAATGCAAAAGAATTATTTTGCGCATTTTGACGCGAGCATTCGTCGATAAACATCTCATCATTTCCGCGTTTATCGTCTCGGAATAATCGTCGTTATTCGACACAATTCGTTTATTTTCCTTTTCCATTCGCCATAAGTCATGCGTAATAATTATACCCTCCGAGCTTGACGACTCGATCTCGATTCCATTCGGTCGAAAGCGAATAGTCACGTTGGCGCGTTAATCGTTAAAGTTAAACTCCGTTTAGGCATTCGCATAGTTTCCGGACGCCAATATAACTTGGAGATTTATCACCGGGCACACGTGCTATGACGGCGTTAATTATTCCGCTTTTATTGAATACCGCGAGGCTTTTTTACTGCGAGAGACGGAAACCTATCGTCCTCGACCAAACTTTTTATCCGGCGATCATA